TCCTGAGCTCCATTTTCACTGGCAGAGGCACCACAGGCCGGTCCTTCACTGTTTCCAGGGCGGCTCCATGGGCCACATCTAAGCACCCTGCAGGCCAGATCTGGCCCGCAGGCCTTAACTTTGACACCCCTGCTCTATTCACTTATATATATTGGAATATATAGCTTGATGAAGCATATTCATATGAACTCTGATTTACTTAACCCAATTAACCCAATTTCCTGAATTCCCTTGACACACAGAATTATAACTGGCTAAGTTTTCACAAGCTAAAATATGCTTCATTTATTTATGGCTGAGTATGTCTTGAAGGCAATAATCACTCTTTGCACTAGCTTAGTTCTGTGGTTGTGACAGGCACTCAACATTTCTTTTTGAGTCCTTCAATGTTCAAACATTCCTTAACAATAGAAGTTCCACAATGGAGTCAATTATCCTTTGGTAGAAATGGCCAACTAGACTTAGGCAGCCATCTCTTATAGATGATATCTCTTGGGGGGTTAGACTAGATGGCCTAAAACAAATGCCTCCATTCAAGTCTTTGATAGCATTATTTTGTTTATTTTGCTTTACTCAGTCTCTTTCATAACAATAGTAACAAAAACTGAAGGTGAATGATAAAAAAAATGCACACAGATAGGTATGCATAAATGGAATAAAGCAAACTTGATCTTAAATTGCAAACTACTTTGCAAACAATTTATTAAAATGGCCTGCTGTGGTCAGCTGTACATCAACATCTGTTCTAAACAATTTTAAGTATTCAAAGGACAGAAAAATGAAAGCATTTAAAGAAATTCTTAATAGTGTTAAAGTGATAGGTATGTCACAATTCTACCAGAGCAAAATGAACTATTGGAGTAAAAAACAAAACGCTATATATTTTGTGTAGATTCTATCACCCAATAGGACCATCCAGCACCCCAACTTAGAAAACATATGCAAAGCTTATATTCTAAGTGTACTACAGCAAATGAGTCAGTATCATTGTACCATTGAATAGGTTTTGTGCTATGGAAGTTATTCTATATGCTATCTCTTGCCTTATATGCAGTGGTAAATTTGGACTCTGGCTTGATGGGGATCTGAATCATGGAGGAAGTCACCCCTGTGAAACCTTCAACAACGAGGCATTATCACCCAAAGAGGAATTCCTCATCCGAGACTTGGAAGTTTGGACACTGTCTTAACTGGAAGAAAAATCAAGGCATCTCTTCATGCACTTTCTAAGCACTTAAGGGGATTTGGCCAGTAGTCCTGCATCAGTTTGTCAAACCCCCCCCCCCCCCTCAAATGAGGATAGACCTCTTGTGGATTCCCTGTCTTTATAGATTGCTGGAGAATCTTACCAATATCCTAATATTTATATCCCTCAATTACCAGCCTCTTCTCAAGTTAGCTGCACCTAATTTGTCCTTTGGATGTATCCAGGTTAGTGGTAGACATAGGTAGTTCAGATAGGAGGTGATGTCTGGGTAACAATCTTATAAGGAATTGGTAAACAATAAACGTATTTGCCACTATTGCTTGCTCGGGAAGTAACATAAAACATATTTTTTTACTTTAACAGATACCTGACTATGTATTGTATGGGTCAAGCTACTTTCATAATAGAAGCAAACATATTGCTGTTAGGCTTCACCTAAGACATTTTTATTTGCTTGTAAAATATTAAGTAAATAAGGAGGAATTTCCCAACAATGAGTTATTAAAGCAGTAGAACAAGCTGCCTCCTGGAGTTGTGGGTCTTCCATCACTAAAGAATTTCAAGCAAAAGGTTGGAAAGCCATTTATCTGGGAAGCCATAAGATCCTGATCCTGAGCCAATGACCTCCAAGATCCCTTCCAACCCCAATTCTATACTTCAACTTTATGCTTTAAAATGTGAAATCTCTGGAGACTTTCATAGGAATTCTTATGGCTTAATTGTGATACTTAGGAATAGTTGAGTATTTATATCACAACACATTTCTATTGTTATTTTGTTTTGTTCACATGCCCAAATTCTACAGACATATTTCTCTAAATGTGTTAGTACCTACAAACAATGGCTCCATACTTAAAGAAGAGAATATTCATAGCTCAGAGTTGAACTGTGATGTCCTTGGTGCTCTCTGAGCTTGGTAGTTCATACGACAATCATTTTTTTGAATTGAACTCTGATTATGTCAGATGGACAGGTCCATTCAGTATTCACAGCTTCATGTATATGGAAGTGTGTTACTATTGGCTTCTTGCAGGGAAGTATTGTTTTTGCATCTCAGGACCTGGTGGGTTGTTGTTGTTTTTGCCTGCAAAAGTAGCTTTGTAAATGATAGCTCTTCTTTAATACAAGGCATGCATCACAGGTTTTACATCAAACTTTTTAGCCTTTTCCTTTCTAACATAGAAAGCTCAATTTATTAGCAGTGCGTTTGCAACATTTTGTCTTCAGAAATCTGCCATGTCTTCAGTAATGTAACATGGACAATTTTCACTATTGTATTTCTGGCATCATTTTATAAACATTTCAATATTCTATAATATTCATAAATGAATAAGAAGTTGGTCATTGTGGCTGTCTGGCATAGGAGTACTGGCAGAATACTTTTTACAATAAATTGATTATATTTTGAAAGGAGTCCATTACAGTCATGGTTTGCAATTCAATGAATTTTTGTGAAACTCCTCTTTTAACAAGCATTGTTCTTTGACCTGGCTGAGCATCCTTTGAGAATTGAGGAAAAAATATTTGCTCCCAGTCCATTCAATATTTCTCTTGATTTGTCTTCATTCTCTCAGTTCTATTGTTACCAAATTATCTAGTGAAATTCATAAAAATTATTTTAAAGCTGATTAAATTGTGCAATGTAGCTTTGCTCCTATTAATAGTCTCCTTTTGCCTGACCTTCTAATATGAACTGTACCAAAAAGCTAGAAATATATTTAGCTTGACATAAAATAACATGGAATATGGGAAGGACCCAGTACACAATACAGATCCTAACGGCAACCCAAGTCAAGAATGGTCTTTTCAGATTAAAATTGGGTGAAATGGATAGTATTGTATTCTGGTAAACAGAAACATAATTCAGAACATCACTGAAAGATTCAAGTGAGCTGAAAAAATAAAAATACATCTAACAGACATACGCCAAAGCCTTTACTAAAAGGCAAAAAAAGTATGCAGAGATAAAGAGGCATACTTGGGTTACTGGAAAAGGTTTTGTACGTTATCAGTATGAAATGACTGGAAGAAAGGAAAATTCATTTTTATGTACTCTATAGTCTTTGCAGCTGGGGAAGAAGAAAAATATTGTGCAATTCCTCTACATGCATCATAATTTTGCGCCCATGTATAGGGTTACGAGATAGCTGAATAGATAAAGGAGGACAAATGGGGGTAAAAGGAGGACACACTGTTTAACATTTGTATTTACATTCATTGGATGGGGAAGGAATTACAAGTAAGTAAACAGGCACACAATGGGTAATATATAGAGATGAATCTATATAGTACCTAGGAAACAGTGCCAGCTGTTTGTCTAACATGTTTGTGGTTCTGTGCCAGAAGCAGCTTAGGAGGCAAAAGCCTTCAGCATGTAACTGATTTAAGGTTTTATCACTTTCAGACAACAGTACAGGTGGGAAGTTTCTAAGCAACTAATTAAGGTCATAGGTCTAACTTTGTTAACTTGCTGTTAGCACTTATTTGGGAAGCTCAGATCTATATTCTTCTTCTGGAGGAAAGCTCAGATATGCAAAGGGGAGGGGCAACATTTGACTGTCTGCTGGATGAAGGTCATGAAGACAAAATGGAAGACACATCCTCCTTTGGCTGGATATCTGGTAATTCTACACCTATGTAAAAAGGATGCATAGCTTTCTTATCACAAAAGCAGCAAGATAATGCAGAAGCCCAGGATTACCATGAACAATTCACTAACCATTCAGACCTGAAGTTGAAAGAATAGCTTGATTTACAAATAGAAGCAATGTTTGAAAATTCTTTCAACTAGACCAAATACTGTACAAATCCATATGGTAAGCAGGTATTTAGGAACTTCACAATTTTTTCCCCTTCATATAAAACCTGAGCTTGTAACTGTTTGAGTTCCAACAACTAACATAACGATTCGCTGTAATGATTCAGTCTACAGTAGATCATTGAAAAAAAAAACTGAGGCTCTCCGAACATAAAAACAATTAAATGTACAAAAAAAACCAACCCCAATATATCCATATTCCAAATCCACTGAGGGGTAAATATAATTTTCTGCACATATTATATTTCAATTGCAAAACTCTAGCTTTGTTTAAGCTTGAATATTTTTAAGAAAATTGAAGAAAGGTAAGTTTCAAACATATTAAGGCATAAAGCAGCAGGATGTTATTGCTGAATGAAATATTCACCGGTTGATATTCATATTCAGGCTATAAAATTTAAAGTTAGGCTGGACTGAGTATTTTATTAGCTAAATTCTATTCTCAATGTAACAAGGGGGAGGATGTCCACCAATCCTTTACAAGAGCCTTCATATCAATAGTGAAAGGTAATGTAGGAGCTGCAGAAGGAATGCATGAAAATAACTTTTTGTTTTCTCCAGTGGGAATATGTATCTTTCTTTTATGCCACAGAAACAATGGTTCATGGAAGGGCAAATCTGTAGCCAATCCATCATATTTTTAAGTTAAAAATGTAGAATTCTTCTGAAACTTACTCTGATTCTTTGGATGGGCCTAAAACAAAAATTATACTTTAATATTAGTTCTTGCAATTAACAGAAACATGCTAAGTTAATGTATAAAGTACATATTGTAAAATTCGGTAAAGATTCGGTAAAGAAACAACAGACTGTTTTAAACAAATAATCCATAATATCTGATTACTACAGGACATAAAAATGCATACAAGTTGGCTTGTATGAGAAGCTGGAAAAGCTTTCCTCTTACAGTTCCTTTTTGTCTCTTTATGGTTCAAAATAATTTTCTTGTGTTTCATTGAAAGCATAAGACCTATATTGTTTTATAATTGTTTATTATTAAAATGATGATCAAAATATTCATAACATTAAAATATTGTAATATTTATTGTGCTAATGAATATTTAGCTCTAAATCAATATATCATACATTCATCAGCTGTCATGATTAAGGAATTATGGAATAAACCCTTCATAGAAAATATATGAATTTCAAGCAAGTAACACAAGATCTTCACCCCTCTAAGTTTATTTTATATATTTACTCAGAATATATATGAAGCCATGGGTTTTATTCACTGGTTCATTTCACAGTTGATGGTTTGCACTAGTGGAAAAAATACACTTGTGAATACCAATGATCCCATTTTTAATTTAAACAACACTGCCTGAAGGCTAAAGTTAGTGTGAGGAACAACATTTTCATGAGATCAACAAAGTATGCATGGGGAATGGGCTCAGCCATCTATATCACAGACATCAGTTTTGGCCCTGAATATTTCTGCAGCAGGATATGCTGCTCCAGAATGGAGTACACATGCGAAGCTAGTTGACATCGCTGTCAATGAAGCAGTACACACAGTGAGTGACAGGATGCCCTAAATCCACACCAATTGAGAAAATGCACACACAGAGAATTGAAGGAATATACTAACTCACTTAAAAAAGTTTTACTTTACATTTTAAACCACTACTGTTCCTGTTTGAATCCTGATTTTCATCATCCTTATTCCACCCTTTTTTCATTGGAGTAAGTTTGGGAGCAACCACATCACCATCCTATCAAATAATAATAAAAAAGAAATTAAGTTTTGCATTTCAGGTCAACTGTTAAGATATTTTGTCATCTTTTCTCCTAACAATTGAAATAAATATGTGTACATTTAAGGGATAAAATATTACCAGGCCTGACATATCTCTGTGCGTGGTAAATCATGATTTTTTAAATTTCACAATGATCTTTTTTATTGTTAATGAAAATACTGATTTCATGTAAATAACATTTTAATTTCTAGTAAGCTCATTAATATAATTAATATAGCATATGAGTAGGATTTGTGTCTTGCCAATGCTTATTGCAGTAGCTCATTAAAAAGTATATAGTAAAGAATTACACTTTCCAAAATTTTCAGGAGGATGGTGCATTATGAGTGTACCCTCATTCACATGTGAACGTCTTACCCGTGGTTTAGTGAAATCCTTATCCATACACCACTGAACAAAATACTGTATAGCAGCCTCAATTATCTTTGTATCTTTTTTTTTACAATAAACTCTGATGATCTGCTCTGCAAATTTTTCTGGGAGCAGCTTTGAAACCTTAAAGATAGAAATAATTAAAACACTTAACTTCAATGACTTTCCTGATCTTTCCCAAGCAGTAAAAAAAGATAATTGAAAGCCATTATAAAAGGAGGATCCAATACAAGCAGAGCTGGTGTAGAGGATTCACCCTTTAAAACCAAATATCATTATTGACTTATGACCAGTTGCTTAGCAACTATCCAAAGTTACAAAGAACCCTCCAAAAAGTACTTTTGACCCAGATTTGAAGCAGCAATGGCTGTTCTCCTCCCCAGTCACATATCATATTTTGGGCACTCAGCAACTGGTCCACATTTACGGTTATTTGCACAATCCTACAATCACTTAACCATGATTTGCATTCCTCCCCCCCCAAGCAACCAGCATTTGCTTCTGATTTCTAGCAAAAAATGGCCATTGAGGACAAAGGATTCACTTAATGATTGCAGGGTTTGCAGTACAACCACAGGGTTCATGTTATAACTGCTATAAAAAACACTGTAAACTCAGATATGATCACATGATAACCTCATGACTTCTGAACATAATCCTGGGCTCAATTATGCTCATAAATCAAGGACTACCTGCAATATAATGGCTATTTTAAAACCAACACAATAAACTGGCAAAACCAACCAATCCCATTTTTACTTACTTGTTCTCTTGTAATTTTAATTGCCTGAGTGATGTCATACTTGCAGTAAAAATGAACATTATTGATGGGGTTCTTTTTTTTCATTCCATAATCCATATCAATAACCTTTATTTATAAGAGGAATTCAAAATAAAGCACATTTAACAATTTATATACATACACTCTAAGAAAGCAAAGTAAGATATTCGATTAAAAAACACAAAAACTTGAGCTTGGTTGTTTTCTTGCAGACGTTTCATTATCCAAACTAAATATCATAATCACTGCTAGCACTGATGATGTTACCTAGTTTGGGTAATGAAGGATCTGCAAAAAAACAAGTGAGCTCAGAGAGCACAAAGAACCACTCATTTCAACTCTGAGCTACAAATATTCTCCTTTACCAGTAAAACAAAACCAAAAAAGGTGCACCTTACTTACATCAACAATAAAATCTTCAGCCTTCAGTTCCACATCTTCAGAGATTGTCATAGGTTTGGAATTAACAATTTCAGCACACAATCCTTCATAATTTTCCTAGAAGGCATAACATTTTAAACTTTTTATTGAGTCAGCAGACAACAGTAATTTCAGAAACTTGATTAATATCTAGAAATATATTTGAGTTATGTGTATCATTTACTGCAACAAATATAGCATTGCTATAACAGTATATCTACAGTCTATTGATATCATATACATATATATTATATATACATATATATTTACATACATACATATATACATATACATACACACACACACACTATCTATCTATCTATCTATCTATCTATCTATCTATCTATCTATCTATCTATTCTTAAGTTTTCGCGGGTACTTACATGTATGGCATTCAGCTTTGTTCGGGTATTTTCCCACATCATTATAGTTGTGCTTTTAAAGTTGTAGCAATGTTTCGGCAGAATCTCATCTGCCATCATCAGGCTCCTGTATTGTGTTTGTCTGTGAGTCAGACTTTCACAGCCGTTTCTGTTTTAAATTTGGGGCTAGCCTACTGCTGTGCCAGAATGGTTTTTTCTTCATCCTGATTGGTTGGGAGTCTTGGTCTGTGTTTATTGGTCTTGGAGTTTGCTGTGTTCTGCTTGATTGGTGTTTCTAATATCTTCTGCCTCCAATACAGGAATGATGTATTTGATCATGAACAACTGAATCATGATAATCTTTATTGTCGTCTTGCATTTATACACATTTTTAGTTATCCTCCATCACTGGTTAACTTTGGTTACTGCTTAACTTTGGTTACTGTTTAGCACAGTAATCCATACAATTAATTATCTCTAGTTAAAGTCTAACATATGTGTACTTCCTCTCTCTAATCCTCTAGTTTAATGACTTTGTTTATCTGAGTTGTATTTGCTTGGAAACATTCTTTATCTGAGGTTTGCCACCCGAGATTGGAACATTCCTGCAATTACAACTCTACAACAGACAAACACAATACAGGAGCCTGATGATGGCAGATGAGATTCTGCCAAAACATTGCTACAACTTTAAAAGCACAACTATAATGACATGGGAAAATACCCGAACAAAGCTGAATACCATACATGTAAGTACCCACGAAAACTTAAGAAAACATATATATATATATATATATATATATTTCAAAAGAGTAATTACATCGCCATCGGTTTTGGCAAGAGCATTCTGAACTCTTCAGGTGGATTGAAGTTGGGAGTGAAGTTAATCTCCATTACAAAGAGAAGGCAAATATAGGTTGGTGTATTTTAGTATTTGCTATTTCAGGATAAAATCTTACAATAACATTTTCTTGAAAATATACAGTATGTAATTGAAATATGGATTAAACAAAAAGTATGGCTCATATGCTCTAGCAGCCCCTAAGGCACATGCAGTATTAAGATGCAGCACTTTTATGAATGAAAAGCAATTTCACAAAAATAAAAATAAGAGTATTATTTATGTATCTGAACTATGGAATGAAGAATTGGAAAATCCACAATCTAATGTAAAATTATGAAACATGAAACATAATTTTTAAATATGAAATGAATTTATTGGATAATTCATTTTTGAAATAAAGGTTTTGGGGAGGTTTTTTTTTTTAGTGCCTTGTACCTTACTGAAAGGTAAGAATGAAGTATATGCCTTTTGAGAGCATGTGTGCCTGCACAACAATTCAATTCTACTGCTAGTTCCAATAGAAGTTACTGTATGTCTTGTACATACAAATGGAAATTGCAGTCATGCAAGCTTCCTAAATGAGCTGCTTTATTGTTTCATGAGATGTTTAATTTGGGCCAATTCACCTTACAAATTATCACTTTTGAATACTTTGCAAAAATTAAGTATGAGTAATAAACTATACTATAAGAGTTGTAAACATAATGCTTGGCTACACACAGCAATTTTTAACTTTTTTGCAAACAATTAAAGAAAAGAGCTCCAATGTACCCAAGAGAGAAAATTTAAAGGTGCTAATAGAACAAATATAGATGAAGCAACTGTTTTCTTTATTTCCTGTGATGGCTGTCTGCCTTAGACACTTTAATTAACTCATTGAAAATTCTGTTGCAAAAGGAAAAGGTCCTACCTAATTCAGTCTGTTTCAACTAATTGCAAAGAGAGTTTTCAATGTTCAAAAACATTTTGTTTCTTGCAAGCTTACTACCAAGTAATTACAAAACGCTGCCATCTCATCTTTTCCTTTGCAACTGAATGAAAGGGCTCATTCCCATGATTTTCTATGACCCAAACATTGAAACATTAATTATGATCAGACAATCCTTGCCTTGTTGGTTATTGTTTCATAAATATTTCCTTCCCAAACAGGGAATAAAGTTGGGCAAAAAAAAGCAGTCAGAATAGAAGCGACTGCTTCCAATTATCTATTGCCTTCCACATTGAGTTTCCTTCTGGGAATCTGTCAAGGAGCATTGGAAATCTCCCTTTCCCTCTCCCATTTCCTTCCCTTCCCTTCCCTTTCAGGTAGGCAGAAAAGAGGCGACAGCTGCGTGAAGGTGGAAGCGAGGGATTGTGAAACTGGCTCAGAAACTGTCACAGAAGATTGAAAATAAAGATTTTATCTCTTGGGAGTTGTGGGCCCCAGATTTTGGAAGCATTCTGTAAGTTAGTCCATTTGAAGTAACTTGGTTCAGGAATTGTCCTATGATGCACCATTTCAACCAATTAAAGGACATGATAAGAGTTTTAATAGTATAGAAATGGAGCACTCAAGCTATTAAGAATTATGTTTAAAGGTTATCACCTTTAAAACTCTATATGGCACAGACCAAGGTTATCTGCAAGATCACCTTTTTCTAAGGATGTCCACCTGTCTTGCCAGGTCTGATAGGTTGGGCACAGTTCTCATCGCTTCCCTTAAACATTGCTACCTTATGAGAGTGAGGAAGCATGCATTTTTGGTGGCAGTCCCTGCTCTATGGAACACTCTTCTCCCTGAAGTTGGGCAGGCCTCTACTTTCCTAGCTTTCAAAAGACCACTGAAGACCTGGCTTTTCCTCCAAGTGCTGGGATAGGATGAGGTAACTGCTAGAAGTTTGACTGGATCCTAGGCTTTTTTGCTTATAAAGTTTATTGTTTTAGTGATTTTTATGTGGTTTATATTCTTGATTGGGAGCTACCCAGAGTTTGGTATAAGATGGGCAATTATAATAATGTTTTAAATAAAATACTTAAATGTATACATATATGTTCTGTCTCACCTGTATCCACAGGTGAGAATCCAAAGTTCCAAAGTTCAAACAGACAAACACAGACAAGGCAGAGTTAACAGTTTCTGTTTACACAGTCCTTGGCAGTCTTCCTGGAATCTGTCTGGCAAGTCCGAGCTGACCATAAATCACGACGCTGCAGCCAAGAGAGTCAAAACATCTTCTCCGAATCCCAAAATACACTTTGCTTCAGACAAGGATTAAGGGCCAGCACGCCTCCTTAAATCCCCTGGAGGGGCGTGTCAGTCTCTCTAATTAATCTCTGGCTTGACGTCTCCTTTCAGATTGTGATTGACGTTTCAATCTTCTTCTAGTCCTAGCATCAAGCCAACATCCATCAGTCTCGTCATCACTCGAAGCCTCTGACACGTTCTGTGGATCAGCTGCTGACACTTGAGGTATGAATGACGTAGAAGGTTCTGGAGACGACCGTGTCTCCGACACTCTCTCATCCTCCTGGCTCGCATCTGTGTCCTCTGATACCTCAGACTCCAAACTCACAGCACGCTCAAACCTTCCGTCTTCAGATGCATCAGATTAAAAACTCCTAGCAGGCTCAATCCTTCCAGTCACAACACTATCCCTCACCGCAGGGCCCTTCCCCCGAGTCTGACGATCAGGATGTGGTTTTCAGGGGAATTGTGCATGATATATCCGAATAAGGTCCGGGGCATGCACCTTGGACACATCCTGTCAGGAACGAATCTCTGTTTCGTTTTCCAGCCTCCCTACGAAGTACTGAAATCGTCCCTTCAGCCATCATGAATCATAAATGCCGACCACTGTGGTATCCGTAACAGGATCAGTGCTGGGCCTAGATGGAGAACCCGTATCGTCTGGAGAATGGAGAGTACACGATGGGGTGTCAGGTACCAACAGGGAGCGGTGAAAAACAGGGTGAATGCGCATGGAGCGCGGTAGGTTGAGCCGATAAGCCACAGGATTAATAATCGCCTCGATAGGGAAGGGACCAATAAAGCGATGATCCAACTTCCTAATCGGACGATCAACCCGGAGATGCTTCGTGGGCAACTACACCTTGTCACCCACAGCCAACGGAGGCGTCGCCGACGTGAATGATCCGCGAAACGTTTATAGTCTGCTTTCGCTCGTTCCAATTGTCTGGAAATTAATTGATGCACGGCATATAACTCCGACAAAAAGTCTCGTGCCTCTGGAACTGGAGAATCTGCGATCGACAGGGGGAAAAACCTCGGATGGTAACCCACATTTGTGTAAAAAGGCGTCATGTGGGTGGAGGTGTGCCGAGAATTGTTAAAAGCAAACTCTGCCAATGGAAGATAGGTCACCCAGTCGTTTTGCCTTTGATTAACAAAACATCTGAGGTATTGGGCGAGAATGCCAATTACTTTCTCAGTCCCATCGGTTTTTGGATGGTGAGCCGATGCTAAACATACTTGTACCCGTAGTGCGTTCATTAGGCTTTTCCAGAATTGAGCGGTGAACTGAACACCGCGATCTGAAACAACTCTGTCCGGTAAGCCATGTAAATGGAATACGTGTTGTATGAAAAGCCGGGCAGTAAAAACGAGCCGATGGTAACCTTCTACACGGGATGAAATGGGCCATCTTGGTAAGCATGTCAACCACAAGTACCGTTGTATAACCCGACGATGGGGGCAAGTGCGTTAAAAAGTCCATAGAGATCACCCCCCAGGGTCGGTTCGGAGTCGGAAGTGGTTGAAGAAGTCCAGGAGGCGCACCTGACGCAGCCTTCGCTTGTCGACACGTAATACAAGAGGCAACGTAAGAAAAGACGTCATGTCTGACTCGAGGCCACCAAAAAGTCCGTGTGACCAGGTGAAGAGTTTTAAAGAAGCCAAAGTGGCCAGCAGCAGGATTGTCATGACACTGAGTCATGATGAGGGCTCTAAGTGTCCTGGTGGGTACGTATAATAGTCCTCGATGCCGTAGCAAGCCCTCCTCTAGAGTTCATGGGGAGTCAGGTTCAATTTCCCCCATTCTTTGCTGTGACCAAGCGTCTAAGCGCTGTGCCTCTCTTACTCGAGCCCTTAAATCCACCGGGTCCTGAATAACGGCCAAAGATTCCGGAGGTATGGAAACAGTTGGGGCGGCGATGTCCTGGCCAGCGCAGGTATGTCTCAGATGATCCACACACTGGAGACTTGAGAACGAAATGGCGTTCTGCGCCCAAGCCACCAGAGGATCGTGCAACCGTAGCCAAGCCATGCCAAGAACCAAGGGGAGATGGAGGTCCGAGGTGATATAAAAGCTAATCGCCTCCTCATGGTCCCCTATAACCAGACGCAGCGGCTGGGTGGCAAAACGCACGGGCCCAGACTGAAGCTCACGCCCGTCAACGGTTTCCACCCTGATGGGTGGTTCCACGGCAACCAATGGGACATCAAAGTGGGTTGCAAAGGCCCGGTCCATAAAACTAGTAGTAGCCCCCGAGTCCACCAACGCAACCGCAGGAATCCCTTCCTTTCGGGACTGTAGGAAAACCTGCGTGTCCAAAAGTAAATGCCAGGGAGGGCCAGAGTTCACCTCAGCTACTTCGGGTGGTGGTGTGGTACGTGCCCGACCTAGGGTTTCCCCGAGGTTGGGCCTACCCCATTTTCCCGACGGCTCAGGATTAGATTCTGGAGTTGATCTTCATGTCCCCCTCCGTTTACAAGAACTGGCAAAATGTCCCGGCCCCCCACAATAAAGGCACAAGCCTCCCTGAAACCTTCGTGACCATTCTTGCGCCGTCAACCGAGAGCGGAGTGCACCCAACTCCATCGTCTCCTTGGTCCTGGTCACGGTATTATGGGAAACCAAAGGCGTAGGCTGTACTGGAGGTTGCGGCCGTGAGTGGGAGGGCGGTTCCATAACTGAGCGTTTGATCTTGCGCTGTTGTAGCCGGGCGTCAATGCGCAAGCATTGCACCACTAGCGCATCCAGGGTTAGAGCCCGCTCCGCATGCACTAACTCATCTTGAATTTTGTCTGCCAAGCCCTCCTGAAATGCATCCATGTGGGCTGACTCATTCCAAGTAGAGTCCATGCAGAGCAGACGAAACTCTGCAATATATTCTTGCAAAGGATGTTTCCCCTGACGAATGTCCCTCAAACGTCTGGCCACAGTTTGACTCTTTATAGGGTTTTCATACATGACACGTAATTGTTGCTGGAAACCCTGGTAGTCATTTAATAAAGGGCTATCTTGTGCCAGCAGAGGAGTAGCCCATCTAGCAGCCGGTCCTGACAAGAGGCTAATAATAAACCCCACCTTAGCCCAGTCATTAGGAAAATCTTCAGGCCGTAAGGACATGAATAGTTGGCATTGTCCCATAAAAGCCGGGAACATATTGGTCTGTCCCAAGAATTTATCCGGCACAGATACCGGGCTTTTCCTAAGGGGAGGAGCTGGGGGAGCAACAGGAGCCTGCAACTGCATAACATGATTAACCAGCTGAGTTACCTGATGTTGTAGAACCTGGTTATTCTGTAAAAGTTGGTCTATTTGTTGCTGCTGCTGCTCTACCAGTTGCTTTAGTTGTGTTTGGTCCATCTTGGTTATAAGATGGAGTAAAGGTCTGAAGCAAAAATGTTCTGCCTCACCTGTATCCACAGGTGAGAATCCAAAGTTCCAAAGTTCAAACAGACAAACACAGACAAGGCAGAGTTAACAGTTTCTGTTTACACAGTCCTTGGCAGTCTTCCTGGAATCTGTCTGGCAAGTCCGAGCTGACCATAAATCACGACGCTGCAGCCAAGAGAGTCAAAATGTCTTCTCCGAATCCCAAAATACACTTTGCTTCAGACAAGGATTAAGGGCCAGCACGCCTCCTTAAATCCCCTGGAGGGGTGTGTCAGTCTCTCAATTAATCTCTGGCTTGACGTCTCCTTTCAGATTGTGATTGACGTTTCAATCTTCTTCTAGTCCTAGCATCAAGCCAACATCCATCAGTCTCATCCTCACTCGAAGCCTCTGGCACGTTCTGTGGATCAGCTGCTGACACTTGAGGTATGAATGACGTGGAAGGTTCTGGAGACGACCGTGTCTCCGACACTCTCTCATCCTCCTGGCTCGCATCTGTGTCCTCTGATACCTCAGACTCCAAATTCACAGCAGGCTCAAACCTTCTGTCTTCAGATGCATCAGATTCAAAACTCCTAGCAGGCTCAATCCTTCCAGTCACAACACATATACATATACCATTTTGGACCATCACATCAGAAGTAGCAGTACACTGGTTCCTGCAACATTTTTAGATGTCCTCAGTCATCATTCCCTATTTTTAATGATCCAAATCTCAAAACATTGCCAAACTTTAGCAATGTTAGCAAATCTTTAGCAAATCTCTTATGAGAGATTTATATTTAGAAAATATAAAAGATATAGAAAATGAATACTTGTTCAATTATTATACTTAAATGAATTCATACAATGAAATGATTTAACCAGTGCAAATTGTCTCAACCTGTTTAATTTCCTTGCCCTCTGGTGGCTGTGTTTCCCCCAAGCATTTAAAGAGATCGCGCCGCTGTATTTTACACAGAATTTCGCGTGCATCACTCAGCTCTGGTTCATCAGAATGTAGAATCTTCAAAAAGATTTCATCTGCCAGAAAGCATTATATAATTATTCTCACATATATTTTGTTAAAAATTTCAATAATAAACAATAATACAAACTAAAAGAAAGAAAAGAGAATAGAAAGAACAAAATGTGAAAAAAAATACAGAAAATGAAATGAAATAAAGAAGTGACTTCCAACCTTCATTACAAGTATAGACAAATTTAGTAACTCTTCACATGGCAACAAATAGATAGCTCTTCATCCCATATCCCATCCCTTATCTATAAGCAAACCCATAAAACATCAACTTTTCAATCCTGGTGTCAGCAAAGAGTCTGTAAAGGGTTGCCCGAACTTTGTAACAAAATCTTACTTTAACCTTGGTCAAATAAACCAACCTGTGGTTTACTCACCAGTTCTTCGGTCTTTGCTACAATCTTCAGCTCTTTAATGCCTTAATTATTAAAGCTAGCTATAAATATTCTTATATCCATGAAAAAAAAATATAAGAATATTTTTCCTAGTCTAAAATAGCAACCAGTAACCTCCCACAAACAGAAATGCTCATTCTATTTACAACTTTTAATCCAACTGAAGAATCTCACTGATAAAATGGAGGAACAGGGTAAGATCTTTTTTCTCATTCTCTAATTCCACAAACCCTTCTGAACTGTGGACTACATAATTGGAGTTCCCTGCAGAAATACCTGGTTTTTGAAAGGATTTGCAGTTTCAATGGTAACACGTTGCCACAACATTGAAACCTGAGAAAAATACTTCTCATACTTAGTGTGATAAGAATTTCTGCAGAATCCACACATTCACCTGTCAGCTTGGTGTAGGCTTCCATGTCTTCCAGTGCTGTAGAGATGTGGAAGACTTTTCCACCTGAGCCCTTTATTTTGATATGTGGATCAGCCTTTAAAAAGGCATCAGTAATCCTAATATGAAATAGATACAAACTGGAAATTATTAAAAACTGGGTTTCCAGAAACTATAGATTTAATTATACTTAAATATAAACAATATTTACCTTCTTCAATGAAATCTACTTTGACAATGATTAAGAGAGAAAGGAAAGGGTTTGTTCAACTGAGCTAGATTAGCAGAGAAAAAGTTAATGGGGTATATTAATTTATTAAAAATCTTTTGAGAAATAAGGGACACTTCTAAGTATATTAACTGTATGCAACTTATTTATAAAAAGTACATCTAAACATCAAATATTATTGAAGCAGCATTTCCCTCCCTAATCATGTAGAAATTTAACTTCTTCAAATAATACTTTGTTCATTGCAAATGTATACACATTTAAAAATATTAAAATGCATATTTTTATAAGGATTGATTTAATCAACAACTCCCACAGAGTAAATCCTTTCAAACTTACATGGTTTCAATAAGGTTGCCAACTTTGTGTTGATATGCTCTGCGGTACAGACAGTTTCGTGTGTGGAACATGTCATACAAATTTCCAGCCTCCTTTTAAATATAAAAAAATATTATTTATCTATTAAAACTATAATTGCAAAACACTTCTTGAACACAGCAATTCATTGACTGTTGCAAAAAAATTGTATGAGAGTCCTATAGATAAAATTATTTTAATCAGTAAAAAATTATCCAACAGTTATTTTTGCAATCAACATTGTTTTGTTATTTAGTAGAAGACTTTTCTATCATTATGTTTCAGATATCCAATCTTATATTTTAGTAGAACCATGAGGCAATCCTTCTGCCTGTAATATGAATTCTACATTCAGCATTTAAAATGGCAGTTCATGGCTAAAATAGCCAGTCCAGTCGATCTGAAAGGTCCTGAGGGAGCCCTCAAAGTCTAGACCTTCTTTCCCTTCAAAGAGAATTTGAAAAATTCAGGTGAAATAAAAGAGCCCATGGGGACACTTCTGACCCTTATTTGTCTTTGATGTGATGAGCATGGCACTAAATCTGCAAAAATAGAATAAATAAATAAGCCATCTAGAGTCGCCTTGAGACAAGATGGACAGCAAACAAATCTAATAAATAAAAGTTAGAGATTACATAAAAAGGAAACTTGCCTTGACTTTTATTATTCTGCTCTTTAAATTAAGGCTTTCACTGCTACTCTTTCACCATTCAATAAACTCACTAACTTTGGTGAGCAAAGAATTACAGCACTCCAGAGGATTAACGTCATTGCCCAGAAGATTATTGGTTGCCCTCTCCCCTCTTTGGAAGAGTTTTGTAGCTCCCACTGCCTTAAGAAAGTTCAAAGCATTCTCAAAGATCCATCTCATCCTGGGCACCCTTTTTTTTGAACCATTACTATCTGGCAGACGGTACAGAATAAAAACAAGCACAAATAGGCTTAAAAACAGCTTCTATCCCAGGGCAGTAGCTCTGTTGAATTCTACTGTATAGTGCAGTGTTGGTGCAGTGTTGGGGGGTTTGAGTGTATAGAATGTGAAGGATGTGTGTTATTTTCATGGTCCTGATGTGCACTGAAGATGGTGTTTGACTTAGTTGTATGAGGTGCAATGACAATAAAGTAAACTAAACTAAACTAAATTACCTTTCTAATCTTTGGAAGTCAGAATTTAGACTTCTAAGAAATCCACTTCTAAAACTCTCTATTCTCCTACACAAGAACTATAACCTTCTCTTATTCCTGCAATGTAGTATTCTCTTATTCCTGCAGTGTGTACCCTAACTGATATTTTTGTGAAATATACAAAATACACAATCTGTCCAAGGAATTTACCTTGTCACGGGTACAAATATGCATCATATCTTTCACTTCGCAAACCCGAGCAAATTTAATGAAGCGCTCATAATCAAAATTGTTTTGAATTCCAAGATGATGACAATCCCTGAGTATATTCCAAAAAGACAAATAAGATCATTCAATCATATATATTTTTAAATCTAGTTTACACGTGAATATATTTACAATTCTAATAAATATTATTGCACACAAATTAACATACAGTACTGATTTAAAATATCAGTAAAATAAAGCAAAACAGTAGCAAAATTATTAAACCAAAACCGACAATGAACATGAAATAAATCAGTAATTTCAACGTTATATAGCGATCTGCAGTTTTAATGTTCACTTATTTGATTTTCCTAAGCAGTTTCCCATGATATTAAGCAATTCATAAAAGTTTATAAAACAATATTCTATCTATCTATCTATCTATCTATCTATCTATCTATCTATCTATCT